TAGTAGTAGTAGTAGTAGTAGTAGTAGTAGTAGTAGTAGTAGTAGTAGTAGTAGTAGTAGTCGTAGTCGTAGTCGTGAGTAGTGAGTAGTGAGTAGTGAGTAGTGAGAAGTAAGTAGTAAGTAGCAATGGTAGTAGTAGTAAGTAGTAAGTAGCAAGTAGTAAGTAGAGAGTAGTAAGTAGTAAGTGGAATGTGGTAGGTCGTAAGTAGGAAGTAGTAGTAGTAGTTGTTGTTGTTGTAGTAGCAGTAGTAGCAGTAGCAGTAGCAATAGTAGTGCACAGTTCGGGCCCCGACCTTCGGGGCCCGAACCTTGGAAACGTCCGGGGCCCTAGTAGTAGTAGTAGTAGTAGTAGTAGTAGTCGTCGTAGTAGTAGTAGTAGAAGTAGTAGTAGTAGTGGTAGTAGTAGTAGTAGTAGCAATAGTAGTAGTAGTAGTAGTAGTCGTAGTAGTAGTAGCAGTAGTAGTGGTGGTAGTTGTAGTAGTAGTACTGCGGTGGTAGTAGCAATAGTAGTGCACAGTTGGGGGCCCGACCTTCGGGGCCCGAACCTTGGAAACGTCCGGGGCCCTAGTAGTAGTAGTAGTTGTAGTAGTAGTAGTAGTAAGTAGTCAGTAGCGAGTAGTGAGTAGTAAGTAGCAAGTAGCCAGCAGCAGTAGCAGTAGTAGTAGTAGTAGTAGCCAGTAGCAGTAGTAGTAGCAGTAGTAGTAGTATCAGTAGTAGTAGTAGTAGTGGTAGTAGTAGTAGTAGTGGTAGTAGTAGTAGTAGTGGTAGCAGTAGTAGTAGTAGTAGTGTAGTAGTAGTGGTGGTAGTAGTAGTAGTCGTCGTAGTGTAGTAGTAGTAGTAGTAGTAGTAGTAGTAGTAGTTGTAGTAAGTAGTAAGTAGTAAGTAGTAAGTAGTAAGTAGTAAGTAGTAAGTAGTAAAGAGTAGAGAGTAGTAAGTACTAAGTAGTAAGTAGTAAGAAGTAAGAAGTAAGAAGTAGTAGTAGTAGTAGTAGCAGGAGTAGCAGTAGGAGTAGGAGTAGGAGTAGTAGTAGTGGCAGTAGCAGTAGCAGTAGTAGTAGTAGTGGTAGTGGTAGTGGTATTGGTAGTAGTAGTCGTCGTCGTTGTAGTAGTCGTAGGGATGTGTTTGTGATTGTGTTTGTTGTTGTGATTGTGGTTGCGTCTTTGTCGTTGTGGCTGTGGTTGTGTTTGTGGTTCTGTGTTTGTGGTTCTGTGTTTGTGATGGTGTTTGTGGTTGGGCGTTTGTGGTTGTTTGTGGTTGTGTGTGTGGTTGTGTGTTTGTGGTTGTGTTTGTGATTGTGTGTGTGGTTGTGTATTTGTGGTTGCGGTTGTGATTGTGTTTGTGGTTGTGCTTGTGCTTGTGGCTGTGTGTTTGTGATTGTGCTGGTGGTTGTGTGCTTGTCATTGCGTGTTTGTGATTGGGGCTGTGGTTGTGTTTGTGGTTGTGTGTTTGCGATGGTGCTTGTGGTTGGGTGTTTGAGGTTGTGTTTGTGGCTGTGTGTTTGTGACTGTGTGTTTGTGATGGTGTTTGTGGTTGGGTGTTTGTGGTTGTGTGCTTGTGATTGTGTGGTTGTGGCTGTGTGTTGTGTGTTTGTTATTGTGTTTGCGGTTGTGTGTTTGTGGTTGTGTTTGTGATTGTGTTTGTGGTTGTGTGTTTGTGGTTGCGTTTGTGATTGTGAACAATTGTGTTTGTGGTTGTGCTTGTGGTTGTGTTGTGCTGTGGTTGAGGCCCGGAAGGGAACACTGGGCGTGGATGGTCGTGGTTGAGGTCCGGAAGGGAACACTGGGCGCGGATGGTCGTGGTTGAGGTCCGGCAGGGAACACTGGACGCGGATGGTCGTGGTTGAGGTCCGGCAGGGAACACTGGGCGTGGATGGTCGTGGTTGAGGTCCGGCGGAGGAGGACGAGGAGGAGAAGGAGGAGGAGGAGATGGGGCTGACATAAAATCTAACAACCCTCACCTGACAGGTGGGGAAAAAAGAATTGTGGTCACATCCAGCATCAAAAAACCGTACGCGAAAGGAAATCTGGAAATCTGGCCCACGATCACATTCTTGAACTTTCTCGATTTCATACCTCACCCGGACCCACATCCATTTTCCTGATCTACTATTGGCCCCTATCGCCGAATAATATTTGTCTTCAGGGAACCCAATTCATTTCATTGCCTTTTTCCGTTGACAGAAATCATTTCAGCAAGCATTATAAAACACAAACACTGTACAGCACATGGTAATATACATGTTTGACCTTTCCCCCGGAAAAGAACATTTGTCAAGAACACTTGGAACACCTGATCTCTCACGCGCCGTTGTCAACTTGAGTACCTGCCATCAACTCATCAACGCACATCGTGGCGGAAGTTTTGAAGGATGCTAATTCTGTAACATGTATTGACATGGGAAGGTCCGTTGTCAGAAAAGGTGAAACCCGGGGCCCGGCTGGGGCACTGTTCACACCGCTACACGGTGCGTTCTTTTTTTAGGCCCAAACACGTGAATTGGGAGAAGTGTTTAAACTTGGCACGGTGTTGAAGGGCCCCTTCTCACTTGGAGACGGCGTTTCCATCTTGCCGGAACCCATGCCCAAAGAGCGCAAAGAGCACCCAAACCCGGATCTCTCTGGGAGCGCTCTGGGCATCTCTGGACGGCCAATCACTGTCACCAACTTTAGTCACACCAGGTTCCTGTTTACACGGCGTTTACAGATTCCTACCGGTTGCCACACATATTGAGTTTTGCTTCAAACCCGTCCGATTACAGTGATGGAGGAGCAGCAATACACGAGCAGCAGCAGCAGCAGCAGCAGCAGCACGCAAGCAGCACAAAAGCAGGAGCAGCCAAGCAGCATGCAACAGCACACGGCCGCAGACACCGTAGGCGCACCAGCACCCAGACTCCAAGAGCGGCCCCCTTAAACGGTGCCAGCACTCAGGATAGCTGGAATCCGCCGACCCCCTGCCACATGCAGTAGGCGTGTCTTGTGGAAGGTTGCTTGTAATGACCTTGGCGCGGATTCTTTTTTCGCTAACCTCACCCCCCCTTCCAAGCAAATGATGTGCGCAAGGTTGTGCTGCATGAGCTGCGACGGATAATCATCGACCGCCGATGGGCACTTGTATCTCATGCCGGACATATTGCACTGATCAACAACTCTCATGCCAAGGCAATACGTGTGTTGCGGAAAGTTGTATGCACCTCACACCCTTCCATCACCTTTCCACCCCCTCGCCCTGGACTGCGTTCTTCAATCGAAGCACATGATCCCTGGAAGGATTCTGCTGCATGAAGCACAACGAATATATAATCATCCATCGGCGACAAACACCGTTATCTTGAACTTATCCTATGCCTATGCCGGGCCTTGTCCAGATCAATTCTGCTACTCATCGCTTTGTTCTTACAGCCCAAAGCCTCCTTGGGGCGGCGGACCTGGCCGAATGCCAAATAAATATGTGCATGTTGCATGTCCTCAACAACTCTCAAACAGCATGGAATAATGAAAACCGATGCGACTTCCCGAAGAGCTTTCGCCGCAAGGAATTGCAACATTTTGTGCAAACTGATGCGACTAAAGTTTGACTAAAGTGTCTGAGAGTTTATATTTAAATTAAGCGTCATTAAGTACTCCATCCAACGCCATCTTGCCGCCCAAGACCCCTCACTCTTACTGTTTTGGACTGCCAGTCATCCGACCAACCAACCAGTTCAGCGCATTAGGTGGTCTCTGGCCCTTCGTCTGCGGTCCCAGCGGCACAAACCCAAAGTGCAAGCATCCGTCTCGGAGAGCTCGCAAAACAAGGTTGCATGGCGGCAACGGACGTCGGAAAAGGCAACCCGGATTTCTGAAACATATCCAAAGCAGCGTCTTTGGGGTGCGTGATGAGGATTAGACCATGAGCATGTCCCAACCGCAGCGCCTAAACGGGCTTGAAACTGCAGGGTTTCGCAAGCAATCGCCGCGTGACCCTGACGACCATCCGAGACTCCAAACGTTATCTTGGTGGAATTCTGAACGACAGCAAGTCGAACCTCCGTGCACATAAACCCAAATTGGTGCCATTCCAGCTCCTTCACCCGGAAAGAATGTAAGTGGTTATATGTGTTGGGGGGAGGTTGGACTTGCAATCATGTCACTTTACACATTGCATCAACCTCAGGCAAACATCCACATGATCGTTAAAGCAAAGAAGAGTCTTAAAAACACGTATATGTTTTACGTAAAAGAAGATGACGAGCTTATATACAGTAAGTGCAAGATGCCCTGCACGAATTGGCAGCACCGAGGCGACGGCGCCCGGTCCGATGGATCGGTCCGGTCGCCGGCCGGACGTCAGCGCAAACAAAGAGAACATCCTTGTTGGAAAACACTTTTATTAACAAACGGATCACATCGGATAACAACATCACACACCAGTGGCCAGTTTGATGATCAATCATCATTTGTATTGGTGATCATTGCTTTTTGGGGATGACTGACCCGGTCGGTGCGGAATCTCCCCGAATGCGATCGTCTAAAACGACCGAATGCGATCGTCTAAAGGGGCGTCTTTTTGTTCTTGCGCGCTTTTCATCGCAAAACCTCAGCCAGCGCTGAACCCAACTCGTTTTGAGTGATGAGGGAAGAAGTCGAAGGCCCTTCATAATCACATCCCACCCCAGGTTGTTACGGAGTAACGAAGGAGACCCTGGAAAACGTCATTTCCCCCGTGAGATCCCGTGAGTTGGGCACGTCATTTCGCGCTCACTCTCTCTCTCTCTCTCTCTCGCTGTCCCTGCTCCCTGTTCCCATATGCAACGACCCTGCTAAGCCGCATCCCGTTCCCAAGAGTTGGTGTTTGAGTCCAGCCTGCCGCAGGAGGGCATCCAAAACATAGAATCAAGTGCACCAAATGCTGCGCCCCCGTATTGCTTGAGCATTGTCATGCTGAAGTCGATCTATGGGCCAGCCATATATAATATGATTATCGTATTGTATCGCATAGATGGCTACAACGCTGCAGTTGAAACAAGGCAAGCCACATCTCGGCAGCATCCTCAGTCCTCCCACCAAGCGGATGCCAAGGGCTCTTCGATGAAGCAGGAGAGGTGAAAGCGTCCAGAGATCTGTGTGGAGCTAAAAGTGCCTTGGCAAGAGTCTGAGATTAAGATGCCCACACCAGTCTTGGAACGTTCTGTCAGCTTACTTACACTTTGTTGGTGCCCTGTTCGACTTCGTCTGTTTTCTGACCTCAGTTTTCCGGAGAGTCATATTTGTAGCTCACACATCTGAACAAGTAGTCCACGCTCGCTGCATGGGTTCACATTCCAAACTATTTATGGCTTTGTGGTCATGCCCCACTGTCCCAACTCTCAACCCTCAACGCACAAATGACTAAGACTAATGACACCGGGAGCAGAATGCACTATCCCAGACCTATACCATCCATGTCCTCTCAGGTTCCCACAACCTACCGACATCTATTACACAACGGAAAAGAGGAGGTTTGTAGTGTCTTTCCCTGTCTCTTCACCAATCTTCACCAGGTCGCAGTTCTTCCACTCCCCTGCAGCAGTGGCATATCGAACTCTTAGCGATGAGGCAGGGACCTCAGCTTGGTCCTGGCAGGGTGCAAAACGTAGGAAAATACCACAAGAATCCTTGGGAGTTGGCCAAGCAGGATCCGAGAAAGATGAGGAAGCGAGTTTTGCTTTTTCCTCATCGATCAACGCAACTCATCAATCAATGCTTGAGCCAACTCAAACTTCTGCCAAGCATTCTCAGGTTGCATTTCCCAGTTGCATTTTCGGGCGTTCATTGCTTTTCCTTTTCCATTAACCCAATGAATGACGCCTCCAAACGCAGTCGAAGGACCGGAGCGTTGCCACCGGCTTTGGTGGATCCTTAACTTACTGTACTGATTTCTTGGAAGAAAACACTGGCACCTGGCACCTTGTATCACCTCCTTTCGCTTCTTTCCAGGACATGTCGTTTGAATGCTGAAAACACGGATGTTCGGCACTCCTTCAACGCCACAGAGAGATATCCAGGAGCTACGCAGCTGGAAAACCTGCAGGTCCAGGGGGGTGGGGAGGCTTCACTGCAGTGCTCAAGAGGTAAAGTACAATCCTTAGGGCCTTAGGGCGCACTGGGAACACTTCATTTTGGCTCATTCTATGACAGCTGCAAGCATGGGAAAAAATAGATCTGAACCCCTATGTAGGAAGACCTCCTCTCCGTTATCCCCTCAGCCAGACCAATGCGCGTCCCTGGGTCTGGTTATGTTATGTGTACCTAAGAATCAACATGAATGGACTCTCGAGGCCATCAACGATGGTCTCTGCATCCTGCCTGTGGAGTCGTTCAAACCACCACCCAGTGAACATCCCGGAAATGCCCGATGATGAGTCTTGCAAGCGAAACTCGCCGTCTCAAGAGTCTTGGAGCCCCACGGCCCACGCCCATGAGCTCCACTCGCCCCGTTTTCTCCCTTTCATCATCCCAAACGGGATCCGGAGCAGATCCGACCAACAATCCCATGCCCAAAGAAACGCCTGTACTCCCAAAAGCCTTTGGGTGACCAGCATCCTTAGACGAAGGGCAACTCCGCTTGGACTCACTGGAGTGCCGAGTTGGCATGAAGAACGGCAGAAACATGGCACCGACAACCAACGGACCCGGAAAGGCCATCTGTGCTCTCATATGAAACGGAATCATGCAAGTTGGACATGTGCCCTGGGTTGGTCCTCAGCAAGGTTACCACCTAAAAGCATATAATAAGCGGCTCAGTCAAAACATGAAGGCCCAAATTATTCAAGCATCTTGACCTGCACTAAAGATACTAAAGAAAGAACATGGGCACCCTGATTGATTTCTCTACGAGTCAAAGACTTTGAATGCTGCTCACTGTTTCGTACTCAAAGTGTAAAAGAGCAACTGTCAACACCTCGTGTGGCACCAGGTTTGGGACTTGACTCTTTTGATGTCTCAACTGCAAGTGGTATTTTTGAACAGCAACTTGATTTTACAACGCAGAGCGCCTGACATACGCTATACGTCTCATGCGAGCAGTCGTGCGCAACTCTCGCACCGAACACCTCCAGCCATCTCTAGGCTGACATGCTTTTCTGGTCACTGAAACTGGGGAACCAAGTTGCCAGGACCGTCGGGCTCCCCGTCGCTCAAGGCACCTAGCGCAGCCAAACTCATGCCCAGCCAAGCGTGGTGATTTTGGGTGGTTTGTAAATAAATTGCCTGCCTGCACATATATATATATATATACAGTATCAATATTATACAAATGCATGCGTGTGTATATATAATGCTACTTTAGGTGCTTATAAAACGACATGTATCATGTATATAGTTATTTGCACCTGTGTAAGAGGCTGCGTGAACAGTGAAAAATCGGACTAAATAAAACAATGAAATCATGAAAGGTGAAGGTGGCAACAGGAGTTCTTCTTTCCTGCTGGTTTGCTTCTGCATTGGAATGGTCGAATGATCGAGCTGCTCGGTCTTCTTGATTCTGTTTTAGTGACTTTGGGGGGGAGATGGGGGAGTTCTTCTGAGCCAAATACGGCTGGCATGTTTGGTCACTAGAGCTTGGGTGGTGGTTGCCGCGTGGTTCCATCCACTTTCTTCCGCTTCTTCTAGTGCTGCTGGTCAGTGGGGCAGAAGAAAATGATGGCTCTGATGCGCCCACCAGGTGATGCGATGCTCCCAATGCATCCCAATGCTGGGCAAAATGCCCTTCACCAGCTGACGATCACCCGTCACCACCTGTGTCACAATGTGCGTGGTATATTTGCCTTGAGGAACTGTGGCCACCCCACTTCTGGTTCCAATCCCCATCGTACACCTAACACTCGGCCCCCACGGAAAGGATTGCCTTTGGGAATGATTCCCCCCAGAGTCTGGTGGGGCATCCTGCAGCGTAAAACCCTCGAGTTGACCAACATCTGCACGACATGTGCCAAGTCCAACTACCGAGCTGCACTCCGCGCCCAGTGGCGCCAAGGTCTGGGCGTCAATCCTGGAGCCAACACCGACCATGCGATTTCACGCGAACTGGTGCCGTGGCCTTCTGTTTTTTTTCTTGAAGGCTATGGGGGTTGACTTAGGTTCACACCCCCCAAACTCAAGCATTTCAAGCAAGTCACAACATTCTTTCTTCGGGACTGGCCTTCCATCTCACATGAGGGTTGAGGGATCCTAGAAACTCCCTGCAGCCAAAGCTCATCTGCTCCGCAGGCATGATCCGCTGATCGTTGTCCAGCAGGGCGAACTCCGTCACCGGACCGTGGCGATCCTGGACGCTTGGCTCGGCTCGCGGACGGCATGGCGCCAAGCTGGGGCATGTAGACTGCTGATCCATCAAGCCCCCCCGTCCCAGAATGGTTTTACAGTAATATGTTTTAGGATCCCCATATAATTAATGCATATAATATATACCCTAGAATAAAGGAAATTCCTAGACTTGGGTCATGGATATGGGTCATATGGGGGATTCAATTTATCAACAGTCCACTGGTGACCACTCCTTCCATCTCAGTCCGAGGCTCGGTGAGCGCGAGTTGCCACTCAAAGGCACCGGAGGCACACTGGCCACGGTCCAAGTTGGCCACGAGGCTGCCAATACTCAGGCGACACCTGAATTGCTCAAAAACCATGACACCATGTCTTCTGAAAATAGCCAGCAGTCACAAAGGGGTGCCTATTGGAGGATAGGGGTGCCCATTATCCACTCACTTAGGAATTAAAAACCACCCCTTTGTGACTCCTGGAGGTTGTTTATTGCCAGGTGTGTTGCCTCAACCAAAATGGACCGAGCTCCTTGCGTGAACTGTGACCCCGTTTGGGCGGACTTGGCTGAGTATCTGAGTATCTGAGTATGTGAGGGAATCATCCAATCATCAGCCAAGGGGATGGCGCGTTTTTCCGTTGCCAATGCACCTTCTGTCATGGTTGGTTAATAAAGAGGGGGGCCCGGGCAATTGGGTATGTGCCAGTGTCATCCAAAGGTTGTAGTAGTGAGTGATTCTGTTGAAAAAGAGTTCCTTGAGGCTCCACTGCACCGACTTCGCCTCCATGTCGCCGAGTTCTTGTTCGCCTCCCTTCGCGCGTCCACCACACCCAGCGAAGGACCAGTGCCATCCCACGAAGGACCGGCCTGTCTTTGGAGGTCACCCTTGGGCGCAGGCTGCAGCTCTTCTCCAAAGATTTGAACCTGCAAGCTGCCGCATCGAGCCTTTGGGGGGAAAGGCTGATGATCTCATAGGGACTGGTAGATGATGAGCAGGAGATTCACCCAACTCGGGATATAGTTCGTAACATTCATTCAAGAGCCAAGAGAAAGATGAGTTCTTGCCCGACATTGTTCGACTTAGCCGCCGATCGTTTGCATGGTTTCTACGGCTCTGGGCTGGGAGTCGATGTTCTCCGGCTTTGGGGTGGCAAGATGACCTGCCACAAGTGTCATTATGAATCCTTTTCAACTTTTCAAGCTTGTGTTGTGCCATATTAAGCCTGCCAAGATTGTATGCTTTTCTGGGGCGCACAGCCATGTTTACCAGGTGGTTTAAGGATCCATACTAATTGCAAATGGAATGTATACATATTTATACTGTGAGGAGCCGGGACTAGGAGTTTGACACTGAGGATCTCCAAGGGCCACCACTGTCCAGTCTAGAGAGTTCTCTGGTGTCAGGTTGAGGATATGAAGAACTCTTCGATCAGGGTCGGTCAAAGTTGCAAAGCTGCTCCCAAAGCTGCTTCGTTGGCACTCTTCTGCAGCAGTGAACTTCTGCCAAAAGTCTCAATCTGTCGGGGCTATGTCAGGCAGCTGAGGAGAGGGCCTTGCTTCTCAATGATCACGTCTCCGTACCATCTTCACCCCACACGGAACACAACTCTATGTTTAAACACCTCCAAAGGTAGACAAGTACTGTAGATACAAATAATAGTCTAATTAACATCAATATCCCCTGCCTGTTGCTGTTCAACTCAATTCGACTACCATTGGCCGAAGTTGGACGCAGAACCCACCTTTTGGGCAAAGCCTAGTCACTCCCCGAAAGGATGTGTTTTTTTTCTCAATTTGGAAGGCATACGGCCAATCATGGCCCTGCTCAAAAACCCTTGTCTGACCCAAACTCCCCAACATTCTCACGTAGCACCTTTAAACAAAGTGAAGAACACGCAAAGAAACCCATGCTAAAGGGACTGCATGTGTTATGCGAGCGCGTGCCTCCATCATTTTGCCACACTCTTCATTGATATTATATAATACACTTGTTTTGCCCATGGCATTATGGTGCCGCACTGCTGCTCCCAACCAGTGCACCAGAGTTGGTCGAGTGACAACACTGATCGGCAGCTAGGGTTCTTCTCGCAGCGCAGTTTGCAAAAGGCCAGGCTGCCAATGTCTGAGATGCAAAAGGTGCAATGCCCAGGCTACGCAAAAGGTGTGTTGAAGTTGACAAGTACAAAGGATCAATAGTGGCCACTCATGGACGCTCAGAAGGTCAAAATTCAAGATAACCCCACACTGTTCATAGAACATGTTCCCTATTCGTAGTGGTTTGGATATGTTTGGATGACCAGGACTAGGACCAAGCAAGGCCCAATCTGTGCAAAGCCCTTGGCTTCAACAACTGCCAATTTTACATAGCTTTACATTTCTCCATGCTTTTCCAAGCAAAATTCACCCCAAATTTCATCTACTCCTTTTTTGGGGTGGGGCGGAGCCAATCTTTGAACTACCCCATTTCTCCATTTGAACATGTGGATTGCCAAAACAAAACTCACCACTGCGGATACCCTACTCACTGTCACTCAAACATTTCCAGCACAATAATATTGCATCTCCCTGGCCTTCGAGCACCTCGATGCTATCGCCTGGACACAGCTGCTGCTGCGGCGGATGCCACATTGGCCGCGCCTGGTCGAAGAGCTGGGGGAGTAACGGAAGCCTGTGGATGGGCAAAAGTAACACCTGGACTTCTTCCCTGGAACTTCACACCGCATCCAAAGAATCAACGTAAAGGGATATCCTACTCACTCCTTGTGCATTTTGTGGTTGCTCCCCCGCCTTTTAGTCTCTACTTTCTCTCTCTCTCTCTCTCTCTGTATCTGCGGGATTTTGTGCGTCCCAGGATCGTAATTTGCAGAAACTCCATCACATATTCTTGGGTTCCGTGCAAGTATTGTGTCCTGATAATGCGGACGAAACTTAATAAAATAATATCAAATCATAAGAAACACATAGAAACACCAGGGACACAACAACCCTGGCTGCCATGCATGGCTTCTATAGCCTCTATAGCACTTCCTCTTGAGTACTTGCAGTACTTCCGTGGTGTGGGCATGCACCGACCGCTGTGGCCTTGCGGTAGCGTTGCAAGAGCTGGTCGAGCTCCGGGTCCGTCAGCACCTTGGAGGTCGCGGTGTGGGCGCGGTAGCGAAGTGGGTCCCCCAACGAGCGGCTCTGGTACTCCAAAGCTCCAAGAACCTCCATGAGGTCTGGTACTTGGGGTTGGTGCCATTCAAATCACTGTATATACAGCCCATGTTTGTGATGTCTGAAATGGATTCGAGGATTTGTGGGTCACATGTCGCAACTGACCCTGTAGCGTGATTTTGTGAAACAATAACTGCATGCTCAAACAGTTTCGTGTCCAGAAAACATCCAAGAGGTCCGCGGACGACGGCAGCATTCATCTCTTGCTCTCGGGTATTGGATGGATCCTGGATCCTCTTGACCAGTGAGCCTCAGTGAGCTGCCAGAAAGGCATCCAGCATTCTTCACAAGCCCCCCACTGGTAGAACACAAAACACCGCCACCCCGCCGCCCCGCCAACGCCCACTCGCCAAAAGGCGGAATTCCAAAGCTCGACCTCGAAAGCGAAAGGCCAACAGGGCCTTCGAGTGAACAGGGTGGGTTGGGCGCCCTTGGAGACCGCTCCTGAAATTGGAGAGGAGTTCATTCTAGTATCCATCCTTGATCTACGCTGGCTGGCAAAGCTCGAACATATCAACCAAAAACATTGCTTTCATGATGTGCACATGCAATTGCACATGCTAGCGAAAGCACCCAAGTCTTTGAGAGGTGACAATAACAGGAATCTTAGGTCCAGGTCCAAGGTGTGGAAGCACCTGAAGGGCAATTGGGAAGAAATGGTCGACCAGATTGAGCCTTCCAATAGATGCTGCAACAAATATCTTGGATGATTGAACACCCCATCACCAAAACTAGGAAGAGAATGAATAGGACGTGGATGTGCAACAACTCCATACATCCATATAATTAGTAGATTGCCCAATGGCTTTTTGGGGATGAGCGTGGATGAACATGGCGTTCTGGCTTGTTGACGGCCTATCTGCATCTATCCGCAAAGTCCAAGAGTCTGCATGCAAATCAGCTTGAAGACCACCAAGCCAGGTGGAGCCTCTCAGGGGCACCATGTTCTTTCGATTCTTGGTCACCTCATGTCACCTCCAAAAACTCCTACCTCCGAGTTGTGGTCTATGGAACTGCGTCACCACAATCCTACACATGGACCCTGGCCCAACAAGCCTTTGAGCATAGCACTAGGTCTCGCTTCCTCAGTCAAAAAGCATCATTCGTCTTTCAGATTCGTCCTCAGCACATTTGGACTATATATACCATCTATCATCTACAGAATGAGTATAGTTTCAGCACATGTCCATGGTATACGCACGATGGACCAGATAGTTGGACATGGTATAGGTGAAACACCTCATCAGGAAAATAGCAATGATCATCAATGCATGATGAAAATGTGCATGCAATCAGCCTTCTTTCCTGCTTTCCGACCAAGCCCTTGGTGAACGTGAGTTTTTGGTTGAGATCGATAGATGCCTTCTGCCTAACACCATCTGGTACAGTCGCTACACTTGTGAGCTTCCATAAGCCTCAGCCTCAGCCCAAGTGTAACTGTGTTCATAGCCACCACTCCTCTCTTGTGGATTGCCATGTTCGACAAACAAATATGGAAGATGGAACTCTACAAGCCTCACAGGTCAAAGTAGGAGTACCCTGGAGCACCCTCCCTGTCGCTGCAAAGACTCGCAACAGCTCTTCCCATTCACAAGGAGTTCCATGGCCGTTCCGTTGTCACGGACCTGGGCTGAAAGAGCCAAGCTATGAGGGTGACAGTTGAACCGTAGAAGGCCCAAAACATGTTGGGGAGACAACTTAGTCCAATGCTGACTTCCTTCTTCGGCAAGTTGCGATGTATGACATAAACGATATCAACAAGCTTGCACCATTCGGTATACAAGCATGTTGTTGTGTGTTCCAGCGGTGCAGGATCTGGCCCGTGCACAGTAGTGTCAAGGATCAAACGTCAAGACAACGCAACAAGTCCTTAACAGTTTGACGCATGCAGAAAAAAAACCTTTTGTTCATAATCCATCATCTTTGTTTTATCAATCTATTTGTCTGCATGTCACATCCATTCCATGCATCTCTCTCTCTCTCTCACTGCAAGGTCTGGGTCTAGCTGTCTCACAGCCATCCCAGCAGGGACACTTTGACGGGGATAAGCTAGCGGCTATTTAAGCTTATCTACCCGTCTGTATTTGTCTACCTGCAATCAATACACAGTCAATAATGCAAGCTATACCATCTATCTACATATATCCGTATACGTATATAACATATACAATATACAATACTGACATACATATATATATATACAGTACATTACAGCACATTTTAAACATATGTATATATATATGTATATGTATGTGCCATCTATGTCGGCAGTCTGACCACCAACATTGCTGCAGCTTGGCCACGATCACGTGCGCCCACTCGTCCTCATGCACGGAGGGGCAGGTGCAACTGGGTGGTAGCGCCTCATCTGGAACTGCCTGGGGTGCTGCAGGTGGCTCGTCCATCAACATCCAATGGTCGAAATGAGGAAAACAAGGAAGAACTCGGAAGAATATGCTTACATCCATCCTTGTTGCTGTGAATCGCTCCGAGTGCGCTTACTTAAACCATCGATTCGTCGAATACAGTCACCAAAAGAAGCTCACTACAGTCCGCACACTGAAGGACTGCTCACCCTTTGTCTCATGACATCTGTTTCAGGCCGGAAAGCGGTCTCGACTCAGGTGACTTAGAGACGAGTTCGGAAAGTGATGTCGTGGGGTTCTGCCTTGAAGGACTCGATCTTGAACCTCAGGTGGTCGGTCTCTCTCTCTCTCAGGACTTGCTTCTTGTGCGAATAGTTGGGAGAAGCAACCCACAAAAAAGCATGTATAGTAGGAGCAAGGACGCTACTAAGGGCTCCTGGCCTCTCTCAATTCCAGCCGCGTGCGTTCTTGAATGCTCAGTTTGCCCAGCGGCTGTTTCAATGAGGTCAAGGAGAGTTGCCAAAGTGATCCGGCAACACCTGGATCGCTCGTGCACGATTCCCAAGAGCCGTAATTCTTGGTAGAATATACTGTAATGAAATGAACCCTTGGCCACATGGGAGTGCAGTTGCCTAGTTGCAAAACAGGTCATGAAAACATTGGAAAACACCCCAATCTGCAAGTGCTCTACCATGTTTCGTCAGGGTCAGCAGTCTTAAGCTATTTGGGCTGTTTTGGTAGACGGGTGGGCCGGGCACCGGTGGAAACGAACCGCCCGAGTAGTACTCGCCCGAGATGGCAGGAACTGCCACTGGTCAGTACCGCCACTGGTTGGTTTGGTGAAGAATCTCCAAGTCAGTCCCTTGCCTCGATGGGGATGTAGATGGGGTGTCAAGGGGACCAGTGGAGCGTCTTCAAAGCACACGGCGAACTACTTCGTTTCAGAGTCCTCTAATCATTCACTATATGGAACCTTTCCCAATCACACAGGCTTGATACATTTCCCCTCTAGGGTATGCAATTTCTCCTCAATCTCATTGAATGCGTCTTCTTTGTATTATTATACCATAAATCTGGGATCATGAGATGCCTGCCAAGCTTCTCCTTCAAGGGTGCCAAAGGGATCTAGCATGCAAATGACTACGTAGTAACGTTCACGATTTCGATGCCAGGAACGAACTGAAAACGATCTAAGATATGTGTTGTTTCCCAACCATTGGTGCCCTCTCCCGACTTAGGCCCGAAAAGACACACAAACGATCCTATTCTATAAGCATCGTGGAGTAGATAGAATACGGACAAACCCCAAAAATTCATGAACCGGTCCTGTTTTCGGATTGCCTCATATTCGATCATCTTCTATCCGGACTCCTTCGGACTCCGGATAGAGGGTGCCTTTGATTCGTCACGAGGTGTGGATCCACGTTGTGAGATCCGATGGGCCGATCCTGGCCTTTGGTCACAAGGATCGCCTGGTCCTCGTCGACGCCATCGGCAACGTGAGGCTTAAGGTAGACCATGGCCTGGAGATGGCCAAAGGCCCTGGAAATCCCAAAGGTGGGAATGTCAAGTTCATGTTGTAAAACATGTGTTTGACATGTCTAAACACAAGTGCATATAGAATTTATGAAAAAATACATACAGAATGAAACTATATAAAGCATATGTTTGCAACTGTTGTGCACTGGGTTTACGTATGTCTTTATTGCATTTGAGTGCCGCCCTTAACATGTCAAGTGTTTTTTGCTTTGGAACTGCCCAGGGTGAACCTTCACGCACCACAAAACAACATATCGATCGAACAGCAAACAGTGGGATCCAGTAGACTGACAACACGGTGTAGCACACAGATGGGTCACCATTCAGAGTCTTCTCAGCCTGTCTTGCTATCGTTGGAGTCAGAAACATGTTCACACCTATAGTCCGCTTATGTCCACTTCCTTTCTGCCTCATATGCCCGAAAATAAAGCCATACAGAGCCACGGATGGTGAATCCACAACGAGGCGACCCTATAATCCTTGGATTCCGAATTCCACTGAGGATGGGTTCCCTTCGATTCCATTTGTCAGTTCCTTTGCTTCCCCTCCAATTCGACATATTCCACCTCGTCTGGTTCAACGGTATCATTTAACCCCTCCCTGTCTAGCCACGGTAAAGCCACTGCTCTGTTCGAGCGCGAGTTCCCCGAAGTCCATCACGCTGTGCCCGCTCAGGCGAAAGGAATGTCCTCGCGCGGTCGGCCCGAGAACGGCACCAGAACAAATAGTCCGACTGACAAGGATGCGGGCGTGGCCTTGTCAACCTTGGTATGGAGCGCGAACTCGTTCGCGCGAGCCAGCGGCAGGTATTTCCACACCCCATGGATCAAGGCGATCGAAACCCTGTGGGTGACAGAATTTGTTGCTCACTGACTTGATCCAGGCTCCCACAAATGACTCATGACTAGTTGTGAACACGTGATCTGCTTCACATCCACGGACTTCCAATGCGAAATGCGGTGCTGCGATAGCTGGTACGAGTAGGCCACCCCGCCCACAAGGATACATGGTGAATTTCCCATGGGGTTCCGGATATTCATGCATATACCAACCCAAATCCAAAGGTCACAGGCAGGCGGCTCTTTCAAGTTCGCGCGCGGTTGTGCGTGTAAACATTTTGGGGCCTCATGCTTCTCCAATTGGTTGCGCGCTGAGTTGATATTGTGCGCCAGTGCCAAAACAGCTCACATAGTGTCTTGACATGTCTTGACAGGCAGTTGGCGCTTTCAATGTAGCGGCTTCCGGTCAACGCCGTTTGGGGCTCATCCATTTTCCACTTGGTGGCTTCCGCTAAGTTGAAACTGTGCACAAGTCGGTCATTTATGCATGGCGTCTCCAAACGAAAGCTCTTGAGGTCACGCCCCCGGTGAAGAAAAACATGCCCGGCCCCCAAAGGATTTAGTGGAAACCACTCAAAAGGAGTTCCTCCCCTTCGTCCTTGACAAGAAGAGAGAGCTAGCGGAAGCCCGCAGGTCAAAGCACGGGGGTCGAGCAACCACGGCGTTAGGGTAGCGGGGGTAGAGCTTAGACGGACAACTCCTCAATTATTAGCTCAACTGCTCTGTCCACTGACCTGAAGGAGGAAATAGGTCAAAGCCGGCAAGACAGACTTGAAGCTGCTAAGTCTGACCAATGGCAGCCGCTTGCTTTGAAAGTGGGTGTCTTCCCTCTGCACCCACCATGAAATTAGTCCTGAAAGAGTGGAGCCCGGTGGTTCTTTCTAGATGCCACGGTCCACAACCACAGGTACAGGCCTGATCATGTCATGACTCATGATCTGGTCAGTATTCAGGACTTCACCCAATCTTTGAACCTTGACCGGCACCTTTCAAAGGTGTCTAATCCGGCACCTTTCTTCCCCTCAGGAAAAAATTAAGCTTCCGTTGCCGCGTCAGCGCAATTGTGGAACTAAACCCGCAGCTCAGGACATGGATTGTCGCTATTCAAAAAACAACAAAAACGGTTTGCATTGCCTGGTCGTCCAGTTGCTTGAGGCGAAAAAATCACAGGGCGTGTCTTGCCCCAAGTCTGTCTAGTTAGAGCTCTCTTTAGTATTTTGCTGCTGATGCAGTCATCTCTTTCTGCCGCTTCTTGGCCTCCGGGTCCGCCTGGGAGATTCCTTTGGAATCCTTTCTGTAGCTGTGTTTTCAATTCATTGGAGTTCTTCAAGAACTTACAGACCTGAGAGCCTTGGGTGTGGTATCTTTGCCGTAGTTGATTTTTCATGAACTGCCAGCGTGCCTGCACGGTATAGAACAGAGTGGAGCCCGGAACCTCATTCTTCTCAGTCTACCCAAAGGGACCGGCTCACCGCCCAACATGAACTGAGCGCAGTCCGGCGATTTCAATTCTGTAGGGTTGTTGAAAACCCCTCGCCACTCAAAAGGAAGCAAGTCCAGACTTCGTTCTTGCAGGCTTCCTCCGGAGGCTCCCAAGTTCTGCAATGCTGAGCCCTTCACCAACCAGAACGAACTGACCGAAACCCAGAAACTTCATGTTGCTCGGTTTGCTGGTGAGAGGCCCTTCACCATCCCATAGGCAAGCAGATCTGATCAAAAGGGCGTGGATCAACGGGTATGGGTCGGGTGTCACAAGTTTGTGGCCGTAGCTATGTCTGTTTTAAGGCGAGGGGCTCAACTGTTTTGGTGCGGGCAGTTAGTTGTATAGGGCCCCCCTCCGTTAGGCACCATGAAAGACATGAAAGGTTGCCCTTAGATAGGAACCTGTACACCTGAACTGTGAATTGCCCACAGGTAAAGTCCATGATCAATTCAGTGGATTGTGGGCGGTGCATGGGGTCATGGGGCCATGGCCATGTGGAAAATACTTAGGTCCTCTTCGATCACAGTTTTATCTTGATTTTAAACGTGTGTTGGGGGGCTGGGGCTGTGCTGTTGGCACGCCTCTTGCAACAGTCCTCTTTCCACATCACCCCTGGCTGGCCATATGCCTTTTGCCCAGAAGTGCCTTCCGATAAGCTGGTATCGCACAACAGGAAACTGGCAAACAGAAACTTCCGTTGATGGAAGAGACCATACATTAGCTAGCACACGGGCCCCGTAGTCGAACACCACGTTATTTTCATCATTACTATTGCTAATATTATAGCGGGTTGAGGGCAGGTAGCACCCCAAAAGGGTGTTAAACTGGATCCCCATCCAAAACACGACATCTTCGGGTGTGTGCAATCTAACCTGAAACCACTATATACATTATTACAACAAAATAGTGGAGTTTTGCATCCGCCTGCTTCAGGAAAAACAGCACGATGATCATGTCCGCCCGTGTCCTTCATCTGCCAATTGCGGTGGCACGCCCAAGAACTTCAACTGCCCGCCCAGAAAGCCTTCGTTCGCAACCTGAGTTGAAACAACCAAAAAGGTACTTCATGGTACTTCAAATGATGCAGAAACAAATAAGAAACTAAACAAACCAAACACAACCCATGTCAATAGCTAGGGATGCACATTGACCAATCGTGAATGTAGTTGCCCAAACATCTGTGATGTAAACATAGGGGGTTAGAAAGTAAGCCCTCGTGAAAGCGAAGAGTTTCTAGGAAGCGGGGCGGAGAAGGAGCATCTCGGAAATCCGGCCAGCAAATGTCCACCCCCCTGCCACAGGCCTACCTCGTTCTGTCCACCCCCCAGGCATATTGTTTTCCTGGCTATTGCGCCACAACAACAAGAATCACAAGAACCACGGCAACCCAGAGTGACTATAGTGGTGGTGGTGGTTGATGGCGGTGGTGATGGTGGTGGTGACGCTGATGGTGGTGATGATGGTGATGGGTGGCGGTGGTGCTGAATTGGCTGAAGGTGGTGATGGCGGTTTTGGTGATGAAGGTGGTGAGGGTGGCGGTGATGGTGGTGGTGCAGGCCTGGAACTGAAGGTCTATGTCCAGAGTTCTAGTTTGCTGCGCCCCCCCACAAAATCTACACTTCAAGGTCCACAAAGTACTGCACCTGCCACGAATCTGCCCTTCAAGACTTCAAGCTCTACAAAGCTTTGATACCACGAAATCTTCACTCCAAGGACTCCAAGGTCAACAAAAACATTTGCGCCTGCCACATAAATCTGCACCTCAAGGTCCTCAAAGTACTGCGCATGCCACGAAATCCACACACGAAACCTGCACTTCAAGGTTCACAAAGTGCTGCGCCTGCAACGAAATCTGCACATCAAGATTCACATCGCGCAGCCCCTGGCGATTCGCACTAAGCGCACTTCCACAGACAACATCAAAATGTCAAAGCGCAGCTTTCGCTTGAGACTTCCGATTTCTGAGCACGAGCCCCATGTCCAAAAGTCACGATTCACTGCACGCCAAAGACCACCACCATGTCCAAAGCACTGCGCCAGTCACAAAATCTGCACATTGACATAAAACCGCTCCGATCTCCTGCACCTGTTGCGAAAAGAAATCACCACGTCCAAAAATGCGCACGGCACCACAACGAGAGCGTAGTCCCAAAGAGCACCCTCGCCACCAGATTTTGCGAGCCTGCGCAGTCGAAATGCACTTCGAAGATCTCAAGGTGAATGAATGTAGTGTAAATACGCAAACGGATGCGAGCACTTCAATCAATCACCCATCCTCAACTCCTACCGTAAGAACCCCAAGTGTGGACAAACTGTTTGGGGAAAAGCCCTTAGGTTTTCCAAAATCCATATAAAAATATCTCCCCAAATCCCTTAATTGAACATCCTTGAGTCAATTGTGTTCTTGAAGTTTATGGATTCTCAAGTGAATTTGCGAAGATTAAGGATTATCAAGGACACTTGTGAAAATATGTGAAAAGTAAGATTTGTCAAAGAATTGTGACTATTAACTGGTTTCAAGCAGGTTATATAAGGATTATCCATGAAATTTGGGCCATAAAATGGAGTTCCACATGTCTTACCTAATTGAACATGACCACTCTATAAAATGCAATTTCAGCCTTTGGCCTTTTATTACCCAAAGCCCAAGGTACCCTCACTCTCTTGAATGGGCGGCACCTGAACGTCATTATATAAACGCCAATGTCCGCCATGGTAAAAAGCCACCACAACACATCTTATGCGTGCTCCCCTTCCGAGTCGCTGTGTTGGGGGTCACAGGGAGTTGAATCGCGTGGAAGCCGCTCAGGAACTTCCGGCAACAGCGGCCACCTCAGCAGCCGTGGCAGCGCTTGGCACCCGTCCATCCGACACGGCCCCGAAAACAGGCAAAGGAATTTTGAATAATCCTCAAGGGGTTTGAGAGTTATTGCCAGTGCTGTCAAACAGCGATGCCCATGCCATCAAAGTGGTCTACACATGTCACATGTCTCTGAACGTGTCCGAATGTGTCCGAACAACCGCTGCAAAGCCGTCAAAGCAATTCATTCCTGCAGCATCCGCACTTTTGGCTTTGATGTATGACAGTTCACGCCGACCTTGTCGGAGGCACCGCAAAAAACGACGAACGATGGCCACATGCCATTGGCCGATGCCACTAGCCGAGGCCAGGTGTCGAACGCGGGCAGACTGGCTGAGCTGGCTGGCACTCGGGACCTCAGACTTCTGCCCCATATGTAGCCACAACATGATCCAAAGCCTAATTGGATGGGCCACTGGCGCGCACAACGCAATTGGAGTGGATGCCGGCGCCACCTGCAGGTGGTACAATTCTCGCTCCAGCTTGAAAGATCCCAAGGTCCATTAGAGCTCCTTCGGCCCCATTTGCCCTGGCGCGACTCCTTTCAGACAGCGCCTGGATCTTGGGATGTCTTCTCGGAGCGCCAGCCAGTGACTAAACAAGGAGGATCTAGCTCGAACCCCTCGAGGTGCAAAAAGCCCCAGCAAGCCCCTTGGCGCCAGGTTTCATGGCCTTGGTCCCTGTCCCCCCCCAAACCTTAGGTCTGATAGCCGTCTTCCCTATGTCCTGGCACCCCCTTCTTCTAAAACAGTTTTCCCCACAGGGGTGCCAATGGTTTCCGTGGCATGGCTCCAAACTCTCATGCCCAAACTGCAACCGAATCCTTCAACCATTAATGCAATCTTCCTGAATATTGGGTTTCTCAGGTGGTTCTTTTCGAATCCAGCCAAGCCTATGTTCAACTGAATGCTCAAAGAAAGCTGTGTAAGACTTTATAATATGTGACACAAGGCCTAGGTTGGCTAACCTGGAGCTGCCCACCCTATGTCACCAGCACCCGCAAAAAGTAGCAATTGCTTGCCGTCCAGGCAAAATAATTATTTTTCTGATCTCCTTTCAGAACCTTGATCTATCCATCTATCTATCTCTCTATATATGTATATATATCTAGTCTATATCTATATACAATATGTTATCTAGCGAATCTAGCGATTCTATACTGGTGGACCTGACAAAGGTCAGAGGTTACTGAATTCAGGGAGGTCATAGCCAAATAGATTTGCTCTGCCGGGCTCTGCCCTGCTTTTTGTCATGCGTCAACTTCAGGGCTCATGTACAGTACTTCCGGGGTGCAGGGCCTTCTATAGGCCATGAATCGTCTTTTTCTCGGCCGGCTCGGCCTCACTTGGCAGGCCGGCTCGGCTCACAAGGAGGTCACACTATGGGTATCGCCCAAGGCATCGGTCCGGTAGGTGGTCTGTCGTTCAGGCTTTCCTGCAACTGAACACTCCGCCAAGTCTTGCAGCTGGATCCTGGGTCGTGCGAGAGGATGCCAGAACCGCGTACCGTTAAAGCGGACGAGAAGCGTTCAAGCGGCAAGTCACTTGTGCTGTGATTGCAATGCTGCTATTGATTTGTGCAGTAGGTTGAAGAGACCTAAGCCACACGCCACAAGGGCGTCAACCAGAAATTGACGGCTTTTTGTCGGGTCGGGTTGCCGGGTATTTTGTGATTTAGTTCCGACCCATGTCCATTTATCACCTTGTGCTCATCCATTCAAACGGAAATAGAATTGGTTTCAATTATGTTTTTCCCTACATATAACGGAATATAACGTATACAATTCCTTGTCCGCAAATATGTAGGCTGGCCTGCAATTTCTCTGCGGTTACAGTTGCAGGGTTGGCCAGGTGCTGAGGCATCTTAGGCATCAAAAGGGCATGAGGACAATGGAACCTTAGAACCGCCTGGAACTTGTGCAAGCGTCTTGAAGTGCACCATAATCTCAGTCAATGGCAATTTGACCTCAGCGCGGGGAGTCACGGAGGATAATATCACACAACAAACATAAACATCACAGAATGTAAATATTACCTTAAATATTGAATCACGGAATACCATCTAGAAAACCATAGAAGGCCTTACAGCAGCGGCTCCCTGACCTGCACATCCTCCGTGATCAAACTCATGAAAGCCCCTTGGATTTAGCCGCCTTGGGAGAGATGGCCATTGACTGCACATTGAAGGAAACCATTGATATCTCCAATGAAGGGTGCTTGGAGGCCATTAACATGATCCGTATATACAGTAGTTATACGGTATAGGCTAGGAGGAAGAGAAAAAAAAACGATGAGGATGGTATGGTGGTTAGTAGTAGAGCTTTACCAAACTGTGGTGATGCTTTTGGTTCAAGCACCCGGCACTTGAAAGGCCCCAGGCACTGTCTCTGTATAGAAGAGGTTCTCTGCCGAAGCGAGCACTTGGGACATCGTACGGGTGAAACTCCCCAACCTGAGCTTGCCAGTGCGGCAGGTCAAGGAATCAAATGGAACCAGGGATGAATGATGAAGGGGTGAAGGTTGGAGCTTCCGCCAGGAACTCCCAAAAAATCCAAAGGATAGTGGGGGGCAGGACACCAGCCGACAGGACAGCTTGATGGGGAAGTTCAACATCCAGCTAGGAAGTTCGGATGTGTCAGTGGATCTTCAAAAGGCTGACCCCTCCGGACCCTCGATGTGGAGACATCCCCTTCCCTTCCGACATTTGCTTTCAGTTGCCTTCGAACTTCTAGGGTTTGAAAGGGATAGTGATCCTTTTGCTTGCATGTAGTGCTTGATATGTGATGGACTTTTAGTATGGTGCAAAAACAGTGTAGCTACAACCAGTTTAACCATTGCAAGGCAACTCCTTTGGCTTCGGCTGGTTCTGGCCCTGTGCCATCAACGTGAACTTGATCTCCGCCGCGTGCGCCTGCGGAGATCACGCAAGCAAGGCAAATTGAAACGTTTCAAACGGCACAAATGTTAACAATTTTATGATGTTCTCCTTTGTGCCTTCCTGAGTTCTTTGCAATCTCATCAAAATACTTGAATGATGCGAGGGAATTGGCGTCCTAACTGCTCCCTTCTGTGGGCTGCAGGCAACTTCAATGTGTCCAGTTGAGATTGGAGATTCCACGGGCACCGCCGCCAGACTTCGAGATCAAAGACCGGTGTCCCTCAACTCTAAGACGGCTTGGACAGGTCATATCGATTCATATCACCCGTCCTGAAGACCGCTCCCTTTCAGTCCGAAGCAGGGTCCCTTCAGTCAAACCACTGTCCGGACCGCTCCACCTCCGCAGCCTCCGAACCCACTCGGTCCATGGCGCAGCCTCCGTCACCCTGTCCTGTGGGCGAACCGCTGCGAGTTGTTTTTTTCTCCGCGCCTTTTGCGCCAGGAACTCCACGGAGCGGCGCCAGCGAGCCACGTGGATGCCCTTGAGCTCGTCGATCTGCAAGTTCTCGAAGTCCGTCTCCTCACCGACGAGACTTCCCCCGGTTCGCGCGTCGGAGTTGGGACCCCCATGTTCGGCCCCGGTGGGTTGTTCTCACACTAGGGTCTCCAGCATCCATGGAGAAAACCTTTGAAAACAGGCAGGTTTGGGGGGATGGATGATCCCAATTGGAGGCATGGGTCCCGTAGTTGTGTCATTAGTCCCTGATTCGGAGTCCGGTCACACGATGGATATATGATATATCGACTTGGACCAGGGTTTTCACGAAGCAGTCCGATCACACAAGTAGCGGTCAGCGTCCTTGGATGGTGAGAGACTTGGGGAGAATTATCAGGGGGTTCAAGAAAAGAACCATACTTGGCCATGGGGCTTGACCACTGGCTTTGCACTTAATATTCGGTACCCGGTAGCCTCCTGAACAGCAGTTGTGAACTAGTCTCCTTGGAGAAGAGATGGGCATGGAGCAACATCTCGACACATGAAAAGGTCTTTACTATACGAATAAGGGCCAAACGCAAAATATGCTGGTTGAGGCACACATCCTTCATGCGATGGACAAGCTGCTCGGTGACAACACAAAATCATATCTATACGTCTTAAAATTGTACATTGACATGTCGATCTGAGTCGATCTGTGCTATCCTTGATTTTTTGCAGGCTACCTAGTACGGTCAAATCCGTTATTTAGCAGAGTGAAATGGACAAACATGGACAAACTTCATCAACATCACTTCTGGCCGGTCGTCTCGGGGGGATGGATGATCCCAATTGGAGGCATGGGTCCCGTAGTTGTGT